TGGGGTGGCAGGGCCATTGTTGGCAGGGAGCTCTGGTGACCTGCATGGCCATGGGGCCAACTGGGGTCTCACTCTGCTGTGGTTGCCCTTGGGTGCTGCTCAGCCCTCCAAACCTGCCACATCTCTCAGCCAGAGCTGGACCCCTGCCCAGGCAGGGACTGCCCACAGTCCTGCTGCTGACTTGCTGGCATTTCTGCGCTGGCCTCTTGCCCACACACACTTCCAGTACCTGCAGAGGTACCTCTGGGTCAGCTCTTCATGTCATAGATGAACCTATCGAGCAGAGTTTCCTCTTTTTCCTCATCCACTCCCTTGGAGATAAAGCACAGGGGGTCAGGTCAGGTTCAACTGAGCCACGAGGAAACACGCCTGCAGGGTCTGGGCCCTCAGACCACCAGCAGATGCTTGAGGGATGAGCAAGTCCCCGTTATGGCTTTTTGCCAGCACCAGGGTCCAGCCCCAGGTGCCCGGCAGAGACTTAGAAAGACACTGAAATCTTGGGGGGAGGGGCACCTATTGATGTCCCCGAGTGCAGAGGAGCAATTCTTCAAGGGGTGCTGCACAGTGACTGCAGTTGGTTGGACTTGTGTGGGCAATGTGATGACCATGTGACTCTGAAATGCTTGGAAAGGCCAGCAGGATCCTGGGGAAATGTTCAGCTAAAAGCAGATGGAAATGACAGTGGTTTGTAAGGGTGTGACATAGCCTGCACTGCTACCTGAGATACGAGTTCTCCCCTGAGCCTCCTCTTCTCCAGGCTGAACAACCCCAGCTCCCTCAGCTGCTCCCCACAGGACTTGTGCTCCAGACCCTTCCCTAGCTCCGTTGCCCTTTTCTGGACACGCTCCAGCACATCCGTGTCATGCAGTGAGGTGCCCAGAACTGAACACAGGATTCAAGGTGGTGGCCTCACCAGTGCCCAGTACAGGGGCACAATCACTGCCCTGGTCCTGCTGGCCACACTTCTGACGCAGGTCAGGATGCCACTGGCCTTCTTGGACACTAGGGCACACTCCTGGCTCATACTCAGCTGGCTATCACACTCATTTAAGTTACTGTATTTGGAAATTATTGAGTAGCCCATCCAATATTAATGAAACAAACTAAAAACTGAGTCAATTTTGTCTTGAAAATTCTAGAAAGAATGCTGTTGCAGAGAGCAGTGCTTAAAGATTCCTTTGCAGACTGCAGCAGGAGACCTGGACAGCTGCATCCCTGAGTGAGAGTTCATTTACTTCCACTTCCCAGAGAGCTGTCCCTGCAGCATGCAGACGGTTGCTGGGTCACATCCAGCTCCTGCTCCGCCTGAGGTGAGCCGGGGGGAGGAAGAAGACAGAGATCCCTGCCGTGTACTCCCTTCCACGCCGTGTGACCTGAGGCACATACATACTCCTTCCTCGTGTTGCTGCCAGCACTCCTTGACGGGGCTCTCAGTGCCTCCCGTGATTCGGAGGGAGCCTTGTGCCGGGAAGAAAGCAATCTTTCAGGCGCTCCTCCAGGCCCTCCTTCAGCCCCAGGAGTTCTGGCTGCCCAGGGCACGGCCACTCGGGCAAGAACTCCAAACCTCTCTCCCCCCCCCCAGAGGCCCCCCCGCCACGGGCACGCAGCCGGCAGGACAGCGTGCGCTGCCTCCCACCAGGCCGTCACGGCCGGACCCACGTGTGGCGGAGCAGGGCCTGGGCCTCAGAGGCCCCAGCCCACACGGGGTGAGGTCATGGCTGTGGCATCGCAGACAGAGGCACGAGGGGGCGGGAGGCGGGGAGGGACCCTGCAGTTTTCCTGGCTGAGCCCATCCGCAGCCACCCTGGGCCCTCACTGTCACGTGAGCAAAACCAATTTCTCTGTGACCCTTCCAGGAGTTCCATATAGCAAACTTAGGG